TTCAGTAGTGAACAAACAGAGCATTTAATAGCCAGAATAGTAATAATGTAATTACTATGATTGACATTGCTTCAGAATAGCTGACTATTCAGAAATAGTCTAGATTGGGAATGACTGATTACATGCCTAACTTTGTGTATTGCTGAAAATTTATTGGAAGTGTAAGGTTAAGTAGTTTATTTTTGTCTTTATCATAATTAGTACTTTTTTATGCAGTGATATCTGACTTGCTGAAAAATAGTGATTCTTTGTTATTCTTATAATCTTCTATTCAGAATTATTTTATCTCATCTTGATCTATATAAGCTGCACTTACAGAGAACAAGATAATATAGATAAATATTTGAAGGATATATTAACCACATACCAGGAAACATGAAATTTCACCAAACTAGATGTGATTCTGAAACCACAATTCTATACAGCAGCTAAAACAAGGGTCCCTCAGAAGTATTTTCAGGTTAAGGCACTAGACAACACTTTTTCCATGCATTAAGTAAGGAACTTACTTAAGGAACTATAGAAATGAGGCATCGAATGTTATTCCCAATGGTCCAAATAACTGATATTTATCCTTAGGTGTGGAGAACCAGTTAATACAGGAAAATCAAGAATTATTTCATACCAAATTTTAGTTCTATTATATTTAGTAATTCCCAGGCTGTATTATTATTTATAGTTGCTGCGATTCTGAAGACAAAAAATGTTAAAATATTAAGCTTGGTACCATTGCTGTTTGGTCAAGTCAATTCAGCTTTGGGAAATTTCATGTTCCCTGGTATGCAGTTAATATATCCTTCAAATGTTTATTTACATTGTCTTGTTCATGGTAACCACCATATATGTAAGTCAAGATGAGATAAAATAATAATTCTGACCTCTCCAGGCCTTACTTTTACATTTGTCTGATGAAGGGATTAAAATAGAAATCTTGGAAACCTTCTGGCTTTAATATTATTTTCTAATAGTGTAGATTAATAACTAGAAGAATGAAGATTAAAATAAAGAATATCCCTTGATTTATAACTATGCTTTAAATTACACAGTTTATATAAGTAGTCCTAAAATAAAGGACAGGCTAGCTTTTTGGTTTAAGTAACCTTTTTTTGGTAGATAAAACTACATATATATTTTCATATATATTGAGGAGGTTAGATAGTAAAATGTAATTATTTTAAAAACTATATTCTGTACAAGATTTGCAGTTACATGAACATTCGTATTCAAAGTATAGTAGAGCAACTAGAAATGTGATAAATTAAGACAGACAACAAAAATTGATTCTGCTTTCTGTTCAATTATATAACAGGTTAGATTGTATCATTGACCATACAGAAGATAAAATATTGGTACAAAATATTTATAATTCATTTATTCATAATTATTTAGATTTAATAAAAAGTTTTCATCTCCTTCAAGGTAACTATTATTTTTGGGGGAAATTCTAAACTGATCTTGGATTTATATATTTATCATAAGCATCATGATTGTCATTTATTAAACACATCTATACTGACATTTACATACATTATCTCATTTAATTCTACAGCAATTCTGTGAAGTAGGTATTATTAGCTAGAATTGCAAGTAACTTGCTTAAAGCCCCAGAGAAATAAGCCACAGAGCCAGGATCTATCTGCCTTCAAAATTTATTCCTTAGATCTTCTAACATAAACTATAGGAACTTCAGGACAAAACAAACACCATCACCACCAAAAAAACCCCCTTGATTTTAAATTTTACATGTAGTTAATAGCCTCAGTGAAACAAGAAAAATCCTCTGTTGCAGCTTGAGTGGGAATTATCCTGAGATACGTAATTGTCAACTTCATTCCCCATACCGGTGGCCCTCTCTATATAGTTGATACTAATCAGATTCATCTGTCTCTGAATTGGTTTTGGGGGAGTGGTCAAAAGTAAGATTGAACTCTTCAATTAGGATGTCTGCTATATTGTATTTCATTCCCTGTCTGTAGGCAGACAGAGGTCCCACAGAAGGCTCTTGTGAGTTTAAAATAGGGGAAGACTTTCTTAGCTCCCTTGAATGGTAGTCCTTCACAGCCATGCTCAAAGAATGGGCATTTTCCCACGGTCCCCTGCTGATTCTGAATGAACAGATTCTCAACCTCCTGCTGACTTGTGAATATATTGTTTATTCCCATCTTTGCTCTTTACTGACAGCCTTCATAAAAACGTGCTCAGAAGACAAATGGCATGGCAGAACCTCTGACAACTCATTAAGGAAGGATACAGTAGGTTTCTGCCAAAGCGCTGCCATCCTAATGTGACATGATAGCAGAAGGAAAAGACGCTGAGAACTGTTGCCTTCTGTCAAAAGCAGCATAATGTCTCTGTGCACTGTCTTGAAGAGGGTTTAGTAGAGATGGCAACGTATTGATTATCTACAGCATATTGCTTTATGCCATGCTGTCCCCTCTGCATGGAATCCTTTCTCTCCCTACTCTTCCAGAGCCAGCCCAAGCTGGCAAAGTAGGTGTGGGTTACTGATTGTTACAAAACTACTATGTTGTCACTGTATGAGCTTTGACTTGATGGGGACCTGAGCCACAAAGAGCATGGCAATTATGAGCATGGAAACTATTGCCAAGTCCCATTTCTCATTACGTAAAATAAGGATCATAATGATACCTCTATCACGGAAGTCGATTTCTGCAAATGTTTTCAGATTGTTTTTTTCTCATTATAGGCCTACTTAGGATTTCTGCCGTTTATTCTTCTGATAGTTATAATTTATATTTTCCTCAAAATCAAGCATATCTCACTTTTATTGATTTTCATAAAGTAAACTTTTTCAATGTGTTCATTTATATATATGTATATATGGCTATATTCTACTTCAAATTTGCATATGCATGTATTTTCCTGACTATTTTCTTCTTTCTAAACTATATCAAAATGTTCCCAGTGTCTCTATCTGGGTGATAAGATTATGAGCTATTTTTGTGTATTTCCCACATGTTCAGAAGTCAGTGTCTATAACTTATGTATTCACAAAATATACTTGAAAAACATTTCAGTTTCTTTATTTCCAAATAAGTTGAAGCCAGGAACAGTTCAAAGGTCAAGGAGCATGGTCAGATTAGAACCAGAAAACCTATGCTGGTGAGGCCAGTTTTTACTCATGAAGTAAGAATCATAAAACCAGCATGTTTCCTTTAGTTCTCATCTGTTATAAAGAAATGGAGCCAGGTGCAGTGGCACATGCCTGTAATCCCAGCAACTCAGGAGGCTGAGGCAGGAGGATCACAAATTTGAGACCATCTTCAGCAACTTAGGCCATGAGCAGTTTAGCAAGATCCTGTCTCAAAATTTAAAAAAAAAGGGGGGGGGGAGCGCTGGGGATGTGGCTCAGTGGTAAAGCGCCCCTGGATTAAATCATATTTGGTTCCAAAGGCGGGGGGGGGGGGGGGGGAGAGAGAGAGAGAGACTGAGCCACTAACCCATTTCACTTGTTCACTTGCTCTGGTTCTCATCTTACATAAAAGTGAGGGTTCTTCTAAAAAGAGTAAATAAAAATAAAAGTGAGAGATGGTAGAGTTGGAAGAAAGCACTAAGAATCATTACTATCTTATGTGGTAAGTTGAGTTTTTTTGGAAACACAGCATATAGTTGGTAATAAAAGGCAAACTTTTAGAGTAATAAAGGATAACTTACTGATCTGTGATGATAACACATAAGTGAAATATTTAAATGCATAATCGGAAGGTGGATGCTTTTGATTTTTAAAACTTTTTCATGATTCTATAGTAGGATTATGAAAGGATTTTTAAAACTATTTTTTCCACAGTTGGAATCAAACGCAGGGTCTTGCACATGCTAGGCAGGTGCTGTACCAATGAGCTTTACTCTCTGTTTCCAAAACTATTTTTTTTAAATATGTTAGAAGACTCCCTGTGACTACTAATATCAAATTAGAGATATTCAATCCAATTTGATTCAAAAAAGAATTTCAGATTGCCTACTTTAAATATTTTGTTAGAACACAAATAAAAATGCTTCAATTACCTGATTATGAACCTAAGCTACTTTCAACAGGACTTTCTATTATTAGGTTTTAACGATTAGAAAACTAGTGTACTGGACTCTAAATTGCTCTAGGATGGGAAAAGCATTTGGTCAACTTTAAACTTGAAGTGATTTGGCCAGAAATGACCACATTGCAAGTAGAATAATTCCTAGCAGGACAAAGGTGTATTACAGCAAACTTTTTTCCTTATTTCACTGTTGTTAGAAAGCCTTAGAACACTGTGTGGTTTGTGTCCTCATAAGGACAACAGGCTAGGCCCTTGGCTCACTGTGCCTTATTTCCTTCTAAGGAAACAGCACAAGCTTTGATTCAATCTAACTTGCTTTGTTATATGATCATCTTCCCTCCTACTTGATGATTGTAGTGAAACATTTTAATTCCTTACCTCTCATCTTGGGTATGTTCTACAATCATTTTTTATGGTTCCCATGGGGTTCCATTTCACATGAGAGATGCCACTCTGATGTGAATCTATAGCAGCATGACTTCAGCAGTGTACAGATGTGGTTGCTGTTTCCAACCCCTCCCCCTCAGTAACTCAATATCATAGGATAAAACTGTGGTGTTTTGATACATTATTCTCTTACATCATATAGAACACAACAGTAACCCTAGCTTTTATAATTGTCATAAATTTGCTTTCCCAGAAATTTTCTATCTTCATTAAAGTCTAAACTCCTATTTAATCTCCTTTCATGTAACCTGAAGGACTCCCCTCACACAGGGCACATCTAGTGGGGACCAACTCCCTCGGCTCTTGTCACATGCTGTGGCTTGAATGTGTGAATCCCTCCAAAATTCCTGCTGACAGTTCAGCCTCAATATAACATATTGAGAGCTGGTTAGGCCAGGAACCCCCAACCCCAGGGATGGGAATGTGCACATTAAGAGAACTTCTCCAGCATGTGCAAGGACCTGGTCCAGTTCCCAGCACACCCCCCCCACCCCCCCACCCCCCACACACGTCCATTTGTCAAGGTGGGCGCTGTGTTTTAATTAGCTTTCTTTTGTCTCTGTGAGCAAAACACCCAACAAGAACAAGTGAGGCACTCTTCAAACTCCCGGATCCCACTTGGAAGAGAAAAAGCTTCTCTAGGACTAACAGTTCCAGAGGTCTCAGTTCATAGATAGCTGACTCTACTGCTCTGCCCAAGGTGAGGCAGTCAGTCTATCATGGGGCAAGGGCCCAGGGGAGGAAAACTGTTCAGTTCAGGGCAGCAAAGAAGCAGAAACCTTGAGTGTAGCTATGATGAGGTTTTTCAAAGCCACAAAGATATTACGGATTTTCAGACTTGAAATGAGAAGACTGCTGAAGTATCCTACAAATTTTAATTTCTAAACAAGTAAATATGGGTCACCATAATGTACTAAAGCAAAAAATCTTCCAGAGTTTTTTCTTCTTGTCATGAAAGTGGAAAAGTTCTTAGAAGCCCCAAAGTGAGATGACCACTGAGAGTCATGCCCAGGGTTGACTGGGTCATTTCGTGCTTTGAGCTCAGAAGGAGCCATTGTGAGGGAATTTCAAACAGTAGTTATTTAAGAGGGTAGCTGCAGCTGGGTCTTTTGTCTATAAGTACAGGAAGCTCTTGGTGGTGACCTGTCAGACTCCCAGATAGTTAGCCCATTTGGTGGTGGTTGGTGGCTGGTAGTTGTGGTCTTTGGATATTGGTTTTTGATTTGGGTTTTTAAAATATATATATATTTTTTTTGCTTTTGCTTTTTGTTTTTTTGTTTTGGTTTATTATTATTATTATTTTAGCTAGCATCCTCATTCCAGCTTAAGATTCATAGAGAGCGTAGTCAGAGCAGTGTAGTGCCTTAGGGGCAAGGCTCCTGCTATGAGCCCACCTCACGGACCATTATATGGTCCTGCAGGACATTGAGGAGGGAGGCTTTGCCCAGGTGATAGAGGTTGTGGTTGAAGGTTTTGGCAAAAGAGGTCTGGAACTTCCCCTTTCTTTCTGAACTGGTGATGATGGCAGCCTTGGACCACCAGAACATGATCCAGCTCTTCTAGGTCATTGAGACCATCGAATATATCTACCTTATCATGGAACATGCAGAGGGGGGACAGCTATGGGACCTCATCCAGGAACCTGATGTCATGCGGAAGGAGGAGCCCACAGACTGTTCAGGTGGATCGTGCATGTGGTGCAGTACTGCCACAAGATGGGTATCATGCACCTTGATTTGAAGCCAGAGAACGTGGTGGTGGATGCCAGCAGCAACGTCAAACTCATCGACTTTGGCCTGAGCACAAGATTCACAGCTGGGAAGAAGCTGAACAGGTTCTGGGGTACTCTCCTCTAAGTTGCCTCTAAAGTTGTCCATTGGAAGGAATTCAATGCCTCCCCCCACGCCCCAGAAATCTGGAGCCTGGAAGTCATTCTCTATTTTATGCTCACAGGGAGATGCCCATTTGTGGCAACCAGCAATAAGCAGCTGAAGAAGCTGATCACGTAGGGAATGTATGACATTCCCCCACATGTTTCTGAGGGAGCACAGAGCCTCATCAATGAGATCTTGACGGTGAACCCCACACAGAGGCCCAACTTAGAGCAGATAATGGAGTACCCATGGCTGAGCCAGGGAGAGGAAGCTTCACACCCAGTCCTTCGAGTGAGGCACTCTTCTAACTCCCAGATCCCACAATTTTGAAAATCATGGTGGACATGGGTTACCATCCCTATAGTACCTGAGTGTCCGTACCACGTTGAAGATTCAAGGACAACATGATGGCCACGTACCTCATACTGGAGCACCAGAGAACCCAGGGGCAGGCTTTGGGTTCCAGGTGAAGCCTGTGCATCACCTGGGCCCCGCATATCCTCCCTGGCTCTGCCCTGGAAGTATTCTAGTAAGCCTGCTCTTCCCTTGCCCCACGAGTAGCTGCAGCATGAGGCAGCCAAGCAGTCCTTGCAGAAGGCTGCTGGAATTGCCAGCATGCCTGTTATTCCTCTCAGCTTCCTCAACAGGGACACACGCCCTCACAGCCTAACTTCCCTGCATAATCCTGAGCCCAGGAGAGCTCATCTTCCTAAGGTACCTCCACAGGGCAATCCCACTACAGAAGCAAGGGTTGGAAGAGACTAAGGAGGAACATCACCAAATGCATGCAAAAACTCTGCTGTATACCATGCTTCCCTCGGCCAGTGTCCAGGAACAGAGAGGCTCCAATGGAAATGCCATGCCCACATTGACAGAACCGACAGCCAGCCAGAAGACCCTGAGCTCTGTGGATGATGACATCATGGTGCAGGAGTGAGGTGTGCTGACTGGCTCAAGCTTCTTTGCACAGAATCCAGGCAGGAGCACATCTGCATCCACGAGGAGTCTCCTCAGCCCCCACCTGCAAAACACATCATAGAGACATTCCCTAGAACACTCCCATGCCCTCAACCCCTGACCCTGCCCATCCTGCTCTTTCTTCCATGCTTTGTAGGAAATTTATTCTTAATTTATTTTTTCCACAAATTGTATAATAAAATTGAAGTTTCAAATATTTTAAAAAGGCAGTCTTTTTTTCTTTTTGGAAATTGGCACCAGGGCAAGGGCTGGAGCTCAGCAGCCTAAACCACTGTGCCTCCCTCTACTGCTCACTGTATGTACTTGCTCACCTTAAGCCAGTGTAGATGGGGACAAACTTGCCTTAAGCCAATGTAGATGGGGACTTGCTTCCCTTGGCATAGTATAGACAGAAACTCTCCCCTTGAGCCAGTGTATATTTGATACACTTTGAGTTGGTCGCTTTGGCAGGAAGGAATCCTTTTCAGTCTTCAGGCCCTCCCTGGAGAGTGTGGGGAGGGTGGGTTGCAGCTGTTGGAGAATACACATCTCTGGCAAGGCACTGGGAAATCCAGAGTGTTCTATGGCTTCATCTCCATAATTCCATGTTCAGGGAAGCAAGAGCTAGGCCAGTGGGAAGGGACAGGCCTGCATGCAGCAGTGGCTGGGCACTTCACCACATGCCATGCAGCTTCCCCACCCAACAGCTCCTCCTGGTGGCAGCTGAAGTTCATGGAGAGTGAACACATGGGATTTGGGGAGCAGAGATGTGCAATCTCAAGGATGATACTTACATAAAAGCATAGTGCACCCATGCAGAATTGCTCTTATCTCTGGGCTCTCTTGACACTGAATTTTGTAAATTGAAGTGCACACAAAAAGTAAGAAATGCTCAAGTTATAGGAGGCTTCGTGCACCTTCCATGCCTGGCGTCTCTGTAGCTCTCGACTCCCAGAGTTGCTCTGGCACCTTCTTCCTGCCCTCCCTTTAGTGGAAAGAAATTGATGCCTTAAAAAAAAAATGTGCCATGTGTCATTTTAATAGTTTGCCTTTTTTACCTTGAACCAAGAAAAGTTTTAAAGTAAAGATACTTTATCAGGCTGTTTTAACCATATGTGTTATTTGTGTCCAGATATATATATATAAAAGTATCATGTTCTTAAAACATAGACTTTCTCCAATAAACTTTATCCCCCAAATTTCTCTCAATATGTAAAATATAGCTATGAGAATTTTAGTTTTTGTCACATTTTGATACTGATTTGGGATGGAAGCATTTTAAATAACTCCAAGTTTGAAAGTTCAAATTTCTAAAACTTTAGTCTTATAGGAACATGGCTCCATTAACAAATATTTGTTCATAGCAAAATGTTTCCAAGGATCTCTTGAAGAGCTAGTAAGAAGGCACCCCCTATCGTGGGCCATGTGCTATTTCAGTTCAAAATGCTATGTGCTTATCAAGCCCATGGTCATACAAATGGCAATTAAACTCTAAAAATGGTAAAAGGTTTGATTTATTGATAATTCCTTGTTAACACTGAAGACTCTAGAAGCCAGGCTGTCTGGGCTACAATTTTTGCTTTTTCCTCCTGTGCCTCATTTTCACAAATGTGAAATGTGGGCAGTAGTAGGTCCCTCAGAGTGGACTAAAGGTTCAACTTAAGTTATAAATTGGATATTGATATTGCTCAGACCTATGTTGTCACCATCCCACAAATGTTCATGCATAATTTAATGATTATACCAATCTCAAAGAAAAGCCTGGTTTTAGGAAAGCACTGAAATTAACTAAGACTACCTTTATGTTATGTGATAGGAAAAGGAATTTCCTTCCTGACCTGTCACAAGTCCTAAACATATCAATTTTAATCTGATCAGAATCTCTAGAGAGTTAAGATGATATGAAATATTTTAATCACAAATGGGAATTCTTCAAAGGTATTTGTGGAATGAATATAAAGTTGTACAAAAGATGTCTAAGTCCTGCAAAATCAGACTGAAATATTTTGATGATATCAGAAGGAGAAATGGAAAGAAGGGTGTGTTCAGGATGCAAATATAGAAAAACAAATAGAACAAAGGTTCAATTGCAGCTTGGATGGGTCTTGGGGTGTCAATATACCTAGTTGTCTGTGGTCCTGGCCTCCATGTAGAGCCTTCCACTGAGAAACTAATTTGACTCCATTTTTGAGAAACCAGCCTCTACCTCAGAGCAAAGCCTGTCCAAGGAAGGGAGCGTGATCCTGGTCCTTGGAAAAACCCACAGAGCACTCCTAAGCACATACTCATCCTGCTGAGTTGTTTGTCTGTAAATAACAGGAGAGGTCTGAGGCGCCAGGTGTCCCTGACTCAGTTAGGCTAGGTGAGGACCCATAGCAACACCCCTAGCAACCTCCAATCAGCATGAGACAGGGAAAATACCTGGGATGCCAGATGACCCTCCCAGTAGTTTATGGTAGTTGATAACATGTTGGGAAACCATGTAGTTTAGCACATACACCCCTTGTGGCCTAAACCAATCAGTTCAAAGGAATCCCCCTCTTGTACTAACCAATCACCCCTACCCAAATTGTTCCCGCCATTGAATGTGCTAATCAATGTTAAGAGTTGTTGTTTGATTTTCCTGTGGCATGGAATGATTTGCTGTGTGATGTTGTGATGCATAGAGTATCCCACAAAACCTATAAAATCTCACTGAACAAAGGACCAGGACTCACTCCCTGGGACCGCTGCATCCGGAACAGTTGTGAGTCCAGGCTCGAGCTTGCAATAAAGACTCTTGTGTGACTGCATCAGATTCAGCTCCTGGAGATCTACTGGGGTCCCACGAATCTAGCATAACACCACATTCATGGGCAGCCTGGGAACACCTCAGTGGCTCAGCATCCTTCTACCTTGCACATGTGACTGGGAGTGAGGAGCAGATGAAGCTCCTTGCTCCTGTGACATCATCTTCTACATGCACCCATCAAGGTGTGAGGTTTATATCGCCTGCATGGAAACCTGGATAGACAGGTAACTACTTCAAACAATAAAATATGATGGAGGTGATACTATGTGACCACCAAGGCTGAGTCATAACACACAGTGAGGCTTCTGCCTTGCCCACTGGAACGCTTGCACTGAGCCGCAAGCTGTCATATTATATGGTCAACTACCCTGAGCCTGCCACATTTGCGGGAAGCACAGCTACAAGGAGAGGACTCATATGTGCACTCTGACAGTCCTGCTGAACTCAATGTGCAAGACATTTCAGCCCAGGTGTCAGACATGTGAATGGAGACTCTCAACAATTCCAGTTCCAGCCACAAAGTCCCCCTCATGTCTTTGAGTCTTCCAAGATGAGACACCAGAGAACATGAAGCAAAAGCAAGCCATCCCCCCTGTACTTGGTCCTAATCTCTGACCCAACAGAGCCTTGTAACATAACTCAATGGATATTTTTCACTACTACCTTTGGAGGCAGTCTGTTAGTCAGTAATAGTATCCAAAACAGATTTTGATGTTAGTGGAAGCCCCGCCCACTCACATAGTGGAATAGCTAATGTTTTTGAGGAAAAAGCATATATGTCTATTCCAACTTAAGCCAAATAATGTTTTTTGTTTTTTAAGAATTAAGGTTTAGCTTTGTAACGTTAAGGCAGCAGGTTTTATGCAGAATGCATTTGCAGTTTAGTTCTCTGTACAAACAAAACACATGTGAAACATTGTGTATATTTTTTTCTATCATGAGTAATACAGTATTCTACATACAATATTAAAATGAGTTAAATGAGTGGAAGTTTCTAGTCACAAATGTTTCAGTATATGAAAATAAGGTATTTTTTATGCTGTAAAACAGCTGAAATATATAGTTACATTTATTCTATGTATCAGGCACTTCTCTAGACACCTTACCTCCTCCCATCCAGTTCACCAGCCAGCCTGACAACCACCTGAGACAGTGGCAAAAGAAAGATAGCTGATTGTCAAAGAAAAGGAAATAAGTAGATAGCACTTCCACAGCCACTGGTTGCTAACACCTCTGGGGCAGAGGAAGGATCCCACTTTTCAACACAAGTGATTTAATTTTTGGTCATGTAGGCATGATCAGAAAGCAAACTTACAATCTATAAGGAGAACAACACTCCCACTCCCGTGGGCACAGACAAGCTCTATGTTCCCTCCTCTTTGGAGATCTCTCTCTCTCTCTCTCTCTCTCTCTCTCTCTCTCTCTCCCTCCCTCCCTCCCTCCCTCTCTCCTGTCTCTTAAACAAAGTTTACTTTCTTTTTAAACTCTTGCCTCAGTATTTCTCAGGTGATTAATCTGCCATACAGGTGGAATAAGACCTGATCTTTTTCTTTTTTATTGTTTTAGTTGCAGATGAACACAATATCTTTTATTTTTATTTATTTTTATGTGGTGCTGAGGATCAAACCCAGGGCCTCAGGCAAGTGAGGCAAGCACTTTATTACTGAGCTACAACCCACGCCCCAAGGACCTGATCTTGATTTTCAAGACAGATATCAGTTTCAGGTTTGCCCAGGATTGCCACCATAGTTAGCTCTTCAGCACCTCACATCTTTCTGAGGTGTACCTTTGTGTCTCTTTCTTTCTGGAGGACTATGATGGGCACCCATCCATAATTAACTGCAGTTAGGGATTCTACAAGACTTTATGGTCTCAGCAGCTCTTAATCACCTCTCCTGTGGGTCAAGTATGTTGAGTTTTGCCAAAGCCATTTTTTCACTGTCCTATCCAGGTTCCAAGTAAAGCCAGATTTACAGATAGGTAGTTAGTGTAGTTAGGTAAATCGGGTCTAATATCCAGTAAAATCAAGAATGAAGGCCACATCGAGAATGGAGTCCAGGAAAAGGGGAATTGAAAATGTCCCCAAGGCCCCAAGCTCATCCCAAGGAAATGTTAAATGAAGCAGCTCCCAGCAAACGTGGAGATGCTAATCCAAAAGTCCTCTCTGCCTAGATTACTCCTACAGCCCACCTGACTCCCACCCTTTGGGCCTTCCCACCTACATTCCATCACTGCAAGATAACAGAAAACAAAGGACAGGAATGCGACAGGAATGTGGGAAAGCTGAAAGAAGACCTTAGCTATAAAAAAGGGAAGACCTTGCCCTTCCACAGATTCCACCTCTTGGGTCCCCTTCTTCCTCCAGGAAGAAGTCTCTTTTTTAAATTTTTTTTACATGTTGATGGACCTTTATTTTATTCATTTATTTATATGTGGTGCTGAGGATCGAATCCAGTGCCTCACACATGCTAGGCATGTGCTCTACCACTGAGCCACAACCCCAGCCCAGGGAGAAGTCTTTTCTGCTGTCCTTTAATAAAGCTTCTACTTTCCACTCTAAACTTGCCTCGGTGTGTTTCTCTGGTGTTATACTTCAGCATTGGGGAAGCAAGGACTCGTCTCCAGTAAACAGCAGTAACATAAGCATGTCTGGCATCAGTAGACAGCATCCCTAATCCCAGTTTGCCTTGAGATACACAGAGAGACTATGAACAAAGGGTTGAAGCAACTCTTAAGATTCTGGCGGTGGCGAATGGTGAATCTCAAAAGTTTCTCCCCTGATCTTCTCTCCCAACAGCTCTCATAGAGTGTCTTACAGTGATCCAAGCACTGCTGAGCCCAGTGACATACACTCCCATAAGAGCCTAATTGCACTCTACCATGCTCTCTTTCCAAACACTCCCACTCCCTCCCCATCAGACAATTCCCTCCCCTATGTAGCCAATCATACTCTACATTGAGAGAGCGACATTTTACATGGAATGGTTCATAAGGAAATGCCTAGCTTCCCAATGTTCGCATATTAAGCTCTTACAAGTCTGTTTTTGTCCTCCATGAGTTTCTTTGCTGCAAAAAGGGAGGCATTTTCAGTTCACTCCTCTGAGAAAAGGAGGTTAAGCCGCTAACAACCACTAGATGTCCTCTTTATCCTCTCAAGGTTCCTTTAGCCCATAGAGCAGAGTAATATACTCCACTACCACCACCAGGTGGGTCATCC